GCGCCCCTTTCACACCTAGCGCCCGGGGACGACTGCCCCCCTTTTGCTACGCCACTGCTGTTTACGCTGTCGGTCATCAATGTGCCTCAATACAATACCGTTCTTGTTCTGTGTAGATGTGTATTATTCTTTACTGTATAATACTATGAAAATATTTTTCTAAGCACGGGTAGTGAAGCTTTTCACTTAAGATACATAGAAAACTCAAGTGATAAAACAATTTTTATAATTTACCGTTTAGCGACTTTCAGAACAAACATTCATATTTACTTTCTTTATGAGTTATATTTATAATAAATGTTAATTTTTGAATAGTAATTTGTGTTAAATTTTATCAGATTTTTTTTATAGCAATCGGAATTCCTGCGTAGTAGTATATTCGCGGAAAAACATGTTTTAGTAAGTAGTACTTATTACACTTTTTCCTCGAGTTAATCACATTCCCAGGCACGTTTCTTTAACTTCCATAATATTAAAACCAGTAAATAACAGCGTTTCGGACTTTCATACTAGGATTTTAACGATAGGATCGTATGGTATTTGGAATTGGAATAGGCTTTATAAGTTATTAAATATGTAGTTTCTGTTTGTTAAAAATTAATAAAATATATAAGTTAATAAATTGAAACTACAAAATTGAAGAAAAGTTCCTAATAGTAATTTGAAGTTGTGAAAATTTTGTATCAATTTGTATTTATAAATAATGCTTAAAATTAAACTTTAAAGATTGAAATTTTTAACATTTTAATTTGTATATGTAATTCGAAGTAAGTACTAATTTGAAACTGCAAAACTGTACTCATATTTCTATTTTTTAACATCTTATCTAGTGAAAGGACAGTTGAACAAGGGCTTGAATTGTACGAAGGCAAATGTAAGTTTGTAAACTGGAGTAGTAGTAGTAATCACCCAGACTTTTTACTGCTGGATTTTGGGCTTATTTCATGGTTATAACATTTGAAAATATTGGTAGTAGTACTAGTAGTTTCTAAGGTACCTGCGAAATGAATTTGTACTGCATTATTTTGGAGGTGGGGAACCAAAAAAATCATTAATCTATGGGGCTTAGCCATACTTAAGAGGGGATTTATATTGATAGAGAAACAATTTTTTTATTCAACTTTTATTTAGATTTTAGTGTTAGTTACAATTTGCAATTATTTTGTTTTTGTTTCCAGCTCTGGTACATTTTCCTTACCATGTTAAAAATAAACTATTAAATGACTATGATCGTTGCACTTATGACAAATTCTTTTTTTAAGTTTGTAGCATAATTTTGAGATAAATGGAAATTTAGGTTTGGTTTTATTTTGGCCTTACAAGTTGTGAAGTTTGTATTGTCGATATTATAGTGCTTGTCAGAGTTCTGTAACTGGTTTCAATGATCAGTAATTCACAGTGTGTTTTGTTAAGTGTGGGTGATTAGGTATATTTGTAGCATGGTGAAATGAATTGTTGGTATCGTTTATTTGTTAAGTGGACCCTTCTGTTGATGGGTGTGGGTGAAAAGCCATGGAATCAAAAACACTAATTAGTGTCTTTAAGAAAACAAAATAAGAAATAGGCAAGAATAGATAATTATTTTTTTTACACATTACTACTTAGGCCTCACTTGGTATACTGTATATAGTTTTAGTTGCCTAAGAAAGGATATTGACTTATTGAAAAGGGTTCATAACATTAAAGGATAACAAGGGTCCATCTAGGCCATCCTATCTATTAAATTATACACTAAAAAACTCAAAGCCAGTGCCTATTGTTCAAGTGTTTATCAAGCTTTCCCTTAAAGTTCCTTAAATTAACTACATCTACCAAATATGAAGGCAACCCATTCCCAAGGTTAACAAAAGTAAAAATATCTTAGTTGAAGATGACTCGTACCTTACCAAAATTTATATTTGTGTCCCCTAGTCCTACCATTCTCACTGTTACATACGAAAAACGATGATACATCAACACTATCAAGTCTCTTTACAATCTTAAACACCTCAATCAGTTCCCCCCCCCTAACTCTTATTTTTTCAATTTCAGATATCTTAACCTATCCTTGTATGACATCAATTCAATGTCCCAAGTTTTCAGATAGGTTAAGGTATCTTGTTTTTAGTTGAGAAGGGTAAAAGTTTATAAGATTTTCTAGGTATCCATAAGATAAAGTTATTTGATTTCTTTGTGTTGTATTATGATGACAAGAGGATGCACATTTAAGAGTTAAATAGGACAGGCTGAGTTTTAGTTTAGAATTTTTTTTTATATTCTGTGAAATGATTGCTGTCAGCAGTAGTGACAGCCAGCACTTAATAAGAGTTAAGAAGGGGAATTATTTCTTGAAAAAATTATACGTGGGTTTAGGTTATGATGATGGATACAAATCATTGTCATATTGTGTTGTGTATAAGATCACCCAAGTCATATTTATTAAATATTAACTTATTTTTTTTAATCCTAAAATAAAATGATAGAAAAAGATAAACCTTATACATCCATCTGACTGATAAAAAACTCAGTTAGCCCAGCATGAAAGACAGCAATACCTCTTGAAAATATTCGTATAGGGGTGTAGACCCCATTCGATCAAATGTGACATAAAACTTTCTATCAAGAAGACCGAGGATTGAATCCCTGCCATTCCCAACACAGAGTAAGGCAGCAGATTAGCAGCCAAGCATAGGATAAAAACTGTTTAGTATCTAGGTATAAAAATATAAAATTAGTTACTTATTAATAATTAGACTCTATGCTTTCTGATAGAGTTAAACCTGTCCTTGTTTCCAGAAATCTTAAGACTGGGACTTTGTAAGTTTGAGACATCATTGGTTTTATCATTTCTTGTTGTAAATGTAGTTTATATCTTAAAGTAAGAAAAGGTTTATGTTTGATATTGCTCAGCAAATAAGGATTCTAGATTATATTTAGGTACATTCTATTAAATGCAATTTTCAGTGCTTTGAAACTTATTAAACTGTCTCATTAAACTGAGTTATTAAACTATCTTATTAAACTGTCTTATATACTGTCTTATTAAACTATCTCGTTAAACTGGGTTATTAAACTATCTTATTATACTGTCTTATATGCTGTCTTATTAAACTGTGTTATTAAACTATCTTATTAAACTGTCTTATATGCTGTCTTATTAAACTATCTCGTTAAAACTGGGTTATTAAACTATCTTATTATACTGTCTTATATGCTGTCTTATTAAACTATCTCGTTAAACTGGGTTATTAAACTATCTTATTATACTGTCTTATATGCTGTCTTATTAAACTATCTCGTTAAACTGGGTTATTAAACTATCTTATTATACTGTCTTATATGCTGTCTTGTTAAACTGTCTTATATGCTGTCTTATTAAACTATCTCATTAAACTGGGTTATTAAACTATCTTATTATACTGTCTTATATGCTGTCTTATTAAACTGTCTTATTAAACTATCTCATTAAACTGTCTTATTATACTGTCTTATATGCTGTCTTATCAAACTGTCTTATTCAACTATCTTATTATACTGTCTTATATGCTGTCTTATAAAACTATCTTATTAAACTGTCTTATTAAACTATCTCATTAAACTATCTTATTAAACTGACTTATATGCTGTCTTATTAAACTATCTTATTAAACTGACTTGTATGCTGTCTTATCAAACTGTCTTATTAAACAGACTTATATGCTGTCTTATTAAACAGACTTATATGCTGTCTTATTAAACTGTCTTATTAAACTATCTTATTAAACTGTCTTATCAAACTGTCTTATTAAACTATCTTATTAAACTGTCTTATTAAACTGACTTATATGCTGTCTTATTAAACTATCTTATTAAACTGACTTATATGCTGTCTTATTAAACTGACTTATATGCTGTCTTATTAAACTGTCTTATTTATTTCTAGAGATAGATTCTGAAGTAGTGAATTTGATTTTTCTGTAGGGTTCCATCAGTTATAAATGAACACGGTTATAAAATGGCCTAACGTAAGAAAAGATGGCTACCATATTATCCAGAAGTTTCAGAGTTTTCCATTTTTTACACAGAGCCTATTTCCACAGATCTGTGTGGAGTTATCATGGTGAAAAATGTTTGACAAGAGTCAACATGGTTACCAGACACTTAAAATCAGCCTCGAATGTGTGTGAAACAAAAACAGAAGTCTCTTCTAGACTGTCATCTCCATTTAATAAGCATTTTAATTCAGAACATCGAGTGTGCATTTCAGTTTTAAAATCTAGTCAAGATTGTGTTAGAAGTAAGAGAGAGACTCATCATGCAGTTTCTATGTCAGGAGTGTATCCAAAGACTCTTGCTGAATCTCTAGTCCACAGTATGCCTGGGAGTATTCAACCCTATCTAAAGCTGATGAGAATTGATAGACCAATAGGTGAGGATATTTTTAAATGTAGTTTATTTAGTCAAGTTCAAAAGGACAGTGTAGTACATTAATAAAGTATTTTGTAGTTAATAAATGTATTAAATCTTAAGTTTGCACTCGAAGTGAGTGAATGTATTTAAAGATGTGTGAAGTAGATAAAGTTTTGAGAACTGGATTTTATATTTTTGTAAGAGTACAAGTTTTGTGACTTAGAGAGCTGAAGTGATTCACAAATGTGTTTAAGTTAGAAATTATTATTTACGTGTGTAAGTAGAAAGTCATTGTTAATTCATTGTGTGTTACAAAGTTTTTCACAACAAGTGAAGAGAAACAGTATTATTTAAGAAGATAATGAAAAACTGACATTTTTAAATGAAAACTTTTATTTAAGATGTTTAGGCTTAGTTGTTAACTGGTTGTATGAGTTAGTTAGTTCAGTATGTTCGTGTACAGACATATACTGTACTATTGTAGAAACATTATTTGTGGAAAAACTAGAGTTATTGGATTGATATTTTTGTAGTGTTTAAAAGTTGTGACTTAGAAATGAACCTATCTGTATTCAGGCCAAATATTTCAAAATTCTAGCTCGCATACCTGTAGCTAGTGTCAAATCCAGTGTTAATACCAAAAGATTAGTTCAAGACTGTGTTCGTCTTTCCTTCCAGTATCTGCATTGGTCTTCAATAGAGCCGAGTGATGATTGAACTCGTTAATTGATTATTCTTAACAGCTTAAAAACATTGATTATTTTCATACGAGTTCACTAACAACATAAAATACTACAAACCAGGTTTTTGATACCCATGATGGGCACAGTACAGATAGCCTATCATGTAGCTTTGTGTTCAACAACAAACATAATGGCAACGTTTCGATTACTTGGATGGTTGGAATATTCAAACACATTAATAATTAGAACATTGCTTTCAATTCATTGATTATATTTGTTAGTCATGGCACTAATCAATTAGGCTGAACAATCTTGAATTAACACACTGAATCTATTTGACTGATCTTGTGACCATTATAACTCTGAATGTGATAAGTGTATTTTCATGAAATTGGAAGCTTTTAGTATGTTATCCATGTCTGATGTACACAAAAAATCAGATTTTGTTTAACAAAGTATTCCTTCCAAAGAGTTAGTCTGAGTGAAAGGTGATTTTCAAGCTAAAAATAAATATTTTTATTTTATAGTTTTCATATTTCCTTTGCATAACCTCTGGAATCTTCTAAACGAATGTTAAAAGTTTTTATTATTATTACAGCCTATCTGTTATTTTCTCTACCCTAACACTACATGTAGTGAAATTATCAATTTACAGTGGAATGAAAAATATGTAACAGCTCCTGACTTGGTCTGAGTTACTATCATATTTCACATGTGTATACTGGCACAGTGTGCTGGTGTAAGTTTTTACATGTGTACACTGGCACAGTGTGCTGGTGTAAGTTTCTACATGTGGACACTCGCTCAGTGTACTGGTGTAAGTTTTTACATGTGTACACTTGCTCAGTGTGCTGGTGTAAGTTTTTACATGTGTACACTCGCACAGTGTGCTGGTGTAAGTTTTCACATGTGTACACTGGCACAATGTGCTGGTGTAAGTTTTCACATGTGTACATTGATACAGTGTGCTGGTGTAAGTTTTTACATGTGTACACTGGCACAGTGTGCTGGTGTAAGTTTTTACATGTGTACACTGGCACAGTGTGCTGGTGTAAGTTTTTACATGTGTACACTGG